GCGATACATATCGTTATCGTTCTATCGCCCAGCTCTATGTAGGAGTAACTGTATCTCAAAAGAAGAAAGGACAACCCCTGCGTCTGTCCAGGAAAATGATTATGAATCTATAATGGTTAGTGCCATGTGAGGATGCAGCTGAAAGAAATATCTGGCTCAGGAGGCGGTCTACCACGTCAAATTGAGCTACCTGTAGCAGGCGAGTGTACACTCCTGTAGCAGTGGCCTGGTCACACTCCACATAATCCCTCTGATAAACTTCTCATTCGTATTATCTCAGTTCCTGGCAGGCAAAAATAAAAATGTCCAAACTTCAGCTGCAGCTGGTACTCAAGGTCAGCAGCCTGGCTCTGCCGCTGATGCAGTTACCCTCTTTAATAAACAGACATGAAACCACGCCTCCTTTCAGCAACTCTGATGATTTGTGATCTGGTGCTGTCTAAAAACCTCAGTGTCACTATCCTGCGTTTTTTTGACCTAGCATTTTGAGTTTTAGTGTATTTTGATGTTTATGGTTTATGTTTAAGTCCATTAAGGTTTTCTAAGTCCATTTCTATTATGCCTAGGTTGCTGTTATAGTTCTTTGTTGTTAGATTCCCCTTGTGTCTTCAACCCCTGTGTTAAGTCTTCCTCGCCCTTCATGTGTTTCATGTCTGCATGTCTTGTGTTGTCAAGTTCTTGTTGTCATGTTTGCGTCTCATTATGTTTCCTGTTTTATTTTGATGAGATCTTGTGTTTCTACGCTCAAATGTGTTTAGTTTTACTCTCCCCCTGTTCATTCATATCAGCTTTTTCCCCCATGTGTTTCCACTTCCACTGATCACCTCATGTGTGCATTTAGTCTGTGTGTTTCCAGTCATTCCTCGTCAGGACGTCTGCCAAGTTCACGTCATGTTTCCAGTTTTTTTCCATGTATCCATGCCTGGTCCCATGTTCAAGGTTTCTTTGTTTTTCAGTCTTAGTTCACCCAGTTTAGGTTATTGTTTAGTTTGTCTTCTTTTTTAAATAAACGGCTCGTTTGCCACACTCAAGTTTTGTTTTGTCTCTTCGTGTGTTGCTGTTGGGTCCACCTCCTCAGTCCACACAGTCAGCTTTGCAGCTAGACTGTGACACAGAGGTCTCAGCCCCTCTGTGTACATGTATTCAGGATTCAGCTCATTTGCAGAATTTTGAATTTGTGTTCATGTTTGTTTTTTATTAATTTGTAGCCAAAAAAGACACATTTTGTGGATATTTATGGGCTCAAATTGTGGTCATAAATATTTTGTACTTCAGATGCATATTTGTGAACTGTGTTTTGTGACCTTGTAAACCAAAATATCTGAAAAAGTTATGTTTGTGCATTTATAGATGAGAATTTGTGTGTGTGTGTGTGTGTGTGTGTGTGTGTGTGTGTGTGTGTGTAGAAAGATTTGTTTGTAAAAAGTATTTATACAAGTTACAATTTTTTTTTGTTAAGGTCTGGTTACAGATACAAAGCAAAAACCTGTGTAAAACTCTGTGCTCAGGTTTCCTGGTTGTGTGTGGATTTCAACTTATGAGTACGAATTTTGACCTAATTGTGTGGATGCCCTCAAAGGCATCCACACAACTAGAAGTTAAGACATGAGGCTTGTGCCAATATATCTTCAGACACTCCTGATGCTCACAATTCAAGAATATATTTCTCACCTATTACCATTCTGAGATGAGTTACACTTGTTTGAGGGTAGGAAATTTGTTCTTCGCTCAGATTTCATCAGATTTAAAACTCTGGAAATGAGGCACTTTTTTCTCTCATCATATCTTTTTGATGGATTTCACCAGAGCCCTGAAAATTTCCATGACTGTTTACCAAAGCCTGCTGTTTCTTACGGTGAAAGAATGATTTTGATGCTCCATAGAGATTTAGAGTTACAAAACATTGTTTGAGGGCATGTCAAGGCAGTTTTTGCTTCACCTCTACTTAGTTACAGTGTTTTACAAGTCATATATCTTTAACAATTTATATTTTATCTCTGAATTATGAAGACCTGAAGATTCCCCCATCTCTTCTGAACAAAACGATGTCT